GCGCCCACCAATATTGCTCAAGGTTTAGCGTTCATAGTTGTGCGATTGTCAATTAAAAACGCAAATATTCCGCATATCTGAGGCGCCATAACAACACGTCTATGTTTGGCATGTCTGCCAATATGTATAGTAGAAGAGGCACACAGAAGTAACTCTAGGGACTGTAGCGTTTAACGCGCTTTGCTGACAGTGCAACGCGATGCTCAAGAAGGTGTTTCCAACGCTTTGTTACGACGGCACGGTGGTGGCACCTGCCCGTCACTTTGAATTCTACACGTTATCACCTCCCAGACTGGCGCGCATCTTTCTCCGCGGTCACGCACGCCTTCGTTTTGAAAGATAACTGCCAGATGGCGCTCGTGTCTGACGTGCATAGATGCGCTTGTTACCTCCGTTACACGCTCGAGACATTCTAACGCAGCGCCTTCAGAATACCATTCACCGATTTTCTTGCGCAGAGCATCAAATAAACGTTTTGTTCGCTCTCTCTAGACGCAAAATATCGTCTATCGACGACATTTAGAGTGTAACTTGTAGATTCGGGCCAATTTTTTTTTGCCTTGTTTATGAGCGCCCTCGCTCTCTCCTTCCTTCGGCCTTTGTTGAACGTTGGGTGAACGTTGCGGGGGATTGGCTCAACCCTAATGTGTTTCCTCACGTCATAGCTAGTTTTGGTTCTTTTCTCTGGTTGAAAAATTGGGCAAACGGCCGCGTCTCGTGGGAAAAGATGTCCTGCCTCCGTCAACGACAGGCGTGTAATCAGTGCTACTGTCTGAGCCTAAAAAATTTCTTCGGCCGAGTTCTGCAGACCGAGTTGCTCGAGTTTCTCGTTGCTCGTGCTATTGAGCAAGCCGAGTGCCCGTTTCACTCCCTTGCAGAGCATTGAGTCGACCTTTTTTTTATTTGAGCCTTCGTAAGTTTCAGTAACGGGAAAGCTTATTCTAAACGTGGCTTACGAAAAAGGCGTGATACGCCTTCATGATGTTGTCTTCTAGGAGTCCTGCTCGCTTGTTGGCAATTCTAGCAATGCCTCTTGCGAAATTGTTCGTGCTTTTTTCAAGGCGCTTGAGTGCTTCCTTGTTGTGGCCCTCCTTGGCACTTAACATTAGCCCTAGTACCTTAACCGTATATACTTTCGGTATCGTTTGGTTGTTCTCAGCTTTGAGCAATACTGGCTGCTTTTCTTTGTCCGAATTTTGTCGAGGGTGAAAGAGCGTTAGAGTAGAGTTGATGGGGGAGAGTGTGTTGGCTTAAGAAATTCTTCCGTTCTAGTCAGTGCTTGTTGAAAGATTCTTTCCAAGGCACCATATGAGTGGTCGCATGGGACCCATACGGTAATGTCATCCACGTATATGGCATGGTGAACGGATGGGATTTGAGCGCACTTCTCCGACAACCTGTGCATCGCCACTAAAGATCGATGGCGAGAGCACTGGTTTTCCAGGTTTCGGGATCTTAACACAATCTTAACAAAACTTTATACAACAATCGCGAAGCTTCCCAAACACTGAGTGTCAGGCTCGATCTGCGTCAAGTATTGCTGACATTTCTTATGGGCATAAACCATACAAAGGAAGTTTGAAAAAAAGAGGAGTTTGATAACTGAATTCAATTAGGTACGATGTTCTATGTATGGACTTACTGTTACCACCCGTAGATAACATGCCTCACAAAAATGCAGTGCCTACAAGTGAACCACCTGTACAAACCTAAAAAACGAGACTAGTGAAGTTTGCGAGGGTAATCATTCATTTATTTCAAAAAGAAAGTGCACGGGAACCACCCAGTATACGCCCCTATGCCATCCGTCATTCTCCTGCTAAGCGAGGTATCCGCTACAAATTTTAAATCATTACTTAGCGATCCTTTTTCTTTCCTTACTATTCTTGCACTTAGCACTCACAATGACTTTACACTATTCCGCTATATGTGCATTTCTGTAGCGGCTCATGACGATGATTGGTAAGCACGTTCCAGACCACACATCCTTTTCTGCCACTAAAATGAACGTGACATGATCTCGCCCATGAAAATCAATGATGGCGCAGAAAACAAGCTCGCCCAGAGGCGAGAGTTCGGGATGCAGCGGCAGAGCAGTAACGCCGACAAGCTGCAACATCGAACTCGAGAGCGTACGTGGCACGCTGCGGCTCAGCGTCTACGCAGACAGCAGGCCGCTGAAGATACGAGAGCTCGGGAAGCAGCGAATAAGTGCTCCGCGGCTCCCGTTCTTGAGCATCAGGCGTTAAAAGCATGGCAAGGGCAGTGCAGATTCGAAAGGTCAAGTGGTCAACACCCCAACTGACGCTAAAAAAACGGTGTGATGCTTTCTTAAAAACATACTCGACGACGCAGCCATTGATGAGCACACAAAGCAAAAACTGATAAGCAGGCTATCGTATACGTCCAGCCCAGTCAAGAAACGCAAATTTCACGCGTGGTTTATGTACCTGGAAGATTCACCCCCTACAAAGACCTGAATATACGAAAAACTCGCATAGACCTCGTCTCCGCCGACTTCAGGATAGATTCCACCGAAGAATAATTGCCTCTGTCTTTCACGGGCCACATAGCAATAATAATAAAGGCAACACGGAATGCAAAACTCAACACAACATAGGAGTTACAACGAATAAAACATTTCATGTACTGTACACAGTCACATTTTCCCTCATTTATGTGTGCGAGTGGAGGGCGATATTTACTCAGTCATCATCGTTTACCTCGAGGAAAAGCAATCATTTTTTTTTTCGTTACTGTCTTTCCACTTAGCACTGATGATGACTATATACTATACCACTTTCGGACGTAAATCTCTGGCTTGTATGCGCTCCTTGCTGTGCGCCCTGCCTCATCCTGTTTGAAACTGCTTGACATTTTTATAACGCCTGGTTTGAATCCCAGCCTGAGTGTAACACAACAACGAGCAGGTACGCCGTGGATGCAACTAAAATATAACGCGCAGTGAACGGCATCAAGTAATTTTCACACAATAGCACCGCAAACACTGTCTTACAAAAGAGGTGGTAAACTGTCGTTCATTGAGCTAGAAAAAGGCGAGACGCTTTGACCACACCTTTAAAATTAGATTATTAATCAACCAATCGACGGCACGGGCTTCAGCATGTAAGCTCCAAAGCCCTGGTTTTATTTCTTGCAGTGGTCCTCGAAGTAACATGAAGGGGGTCATAAAAGACATATATATACGCAATCAAACGGGCCGTATTAAACCCAAGCTATATTCACCTATCTGATCAGGAGTTTCACAGACTATGGTTGCTGGAAGAAACACGGCTCAAGTTTTTCGGTGTGTGACTGCGCCACCTTCTCTGCTCTATGTTGTGCAGTTCAGAAGACGCCTTATAAAAAAGAGCCTGTGTAAAAAAAAAATACGCCAAGCGTATTGTTCAATGAAGAAGTGCAGTTTATAGAAAAAAACTCTTTGCCTGCTAGTGCAAACATATGGATCACAGCGTGTTATCATGATCTTGAGGTGTGCGCCTATACTCATACAGTGTCCCTGTATTTCAGACAATTTCGGTTCTTAAACGCTAAAGAACGCGGGCACCTTAAAAGTGGTGACGGATGCCGCATGCATCAGTCGCCGATAAAAGCCGCCATTGCGCACTCAAAGAGAACAGGTGCATGAATCTGCTGGCAAACACGGCAACACAGACCAAAATGTGATGATGGTGTTGCGTTCATTAGGCAGCACAATGCGCACTCTCAAAGACTGAATGACATCTCAACCAGCTCAAAGAGTAACACAAGCTTACGATACTCTGCAGCCAGTCCTTCGAAGTCTTCCTTAACAAAATGGGCATCAGTCCACTTCGTCTTACACAGCGAAAATCTAACAGTGCTCTCTGACAGTTTGCAATTTGAAACCATTCGGTCAGGTGCAAAATACACTGCTATTCATGTGAAATAACTTTTCTACAGAGACAACACTGCGCTTCTTGTGTCAGTTTGCCTCACATTTACTCTCAAAGCGTCGAAATTTGAAACCTATGTGAAAATAATGCAACAGCGACCTCTGAATTAAGTTAACGAAAATGATTGTCAGTGTCGTGTAGCCGGCTTGAACTGTAAACCTCCAATTTGATTCATAGGCATGCGCAGTATTCTCCATCAGGCAGGGCAAAGCATCGTCTCAGCGCAACCCCCGCCTACTAAGTTACTGTGTGGGGAATATTTCCAGCTCTGCCCCTCTTAGATCTATAGAGAGGAAAAGGACAGCCCCCCTCTCGTTTGTTTTTTTTTTTTGTCTGTGCGCACGCCTATCTTCTGACTGGCGTTTCGTTATGTCTAAAGATTTCTCTTCCCTCTACAATGCCGTTGAAAAAAATTCTTATTAGGTGCTGTGTTTGTCCACCTAAATTTATCTTCTTAAAACTACAGTTTTGTTAACGTTCATAAGCGAGTGACTTAAGTATTCCAAAAGGCCGGTCGGTTTTTTTACGTACAAAAAGTAACTAAGTTATTTTTCTTCACCCTATCGTCCTTCTCGCCCATAGTTTCTTAACATGTCAAAATACCGGTTGGATTACACGTTTCTCCGCGGCCGGTCTTCTCCAAGTACGTGAAACAAAAAAAATATCACGGAGGAACGTGTCTGTTCTACATCAGTTTACACAAGTATGTGGTTTTTCAGACCTTGTGAACGAGCCGTCACGTATTTCTTTCCCTTCTCATCATGGCATTCGCTGTAGTAGTCACAGCTGAACACTCAATTTTACCCAATTTCATCACTGACATTGCGTTCATCACTTCTTATAAGCGAGAGCAAGCACTGGATCATTTTTCCGCATTGGAAAGCAAGAAAATAACGTAAGTGAATCTTACCAATGCAGCTAATGTACGCTTGGGAGAGGTTAACGAAAAAATAATGCTAACCTTGACATTCTTCTCGACTGGCGTTAATACTATTTTGCGAAATTTTAAAGCCAAGCACCAGGTATATAAGACGATTCGCCATGAACCCAGATCCAAAGCTTCTGCTCCTCTAACAGACCAGGCCCACCACCATGGTAAGTCAATGAATTATTTCTCTTTGCTCTTGCAAACCTCCAATTGATTCCTCGCGAATTAATATCCGCAAGTGCCTACAAAAAATCCGGCCTTCCTGAGGTAAAACTTGGTTCGCTTCATAACCGTTGATAAGTGCTCTTAGCCAACAAGAATTATTAGGATGTACACCTATTCACGTTTAGGAAAAACTAAACAAAACATGAAAATTCCCACGTAGTTAGCGTAGCCACAATATGCAAGACTTAAAGTAACTGAAGTTAAGATTGCCTTTGCTTGGGCCAGTTTGTGCATCTTTGAACAATTAGAATGGCACCGTCAAAAATACACGGAGATAAAATATTCGTGCTTTGAAAGGGATCATTTTTGTATCGAATGTTGAGATTTACGTTGGTGTCTCGAGGGTTTTTTGGTTGCATATAAAAGAGCTCATTGGAATAGAAAGACCATGCGGGGGCCACTTCTTCCATTCGCGAACATGTCGCAGGCCGCTACAAAGTGCTCACACCACGAATAGCGTCTCCCTTGTTTTTTATCTTTTGGCAACGTCCATCAAAGCATCCTTGAAATCCAAAAAAACGAGAATATCGCGCAACTGTCATAACTCAGGACTAATAATAAATATCCACGCACACGCACAGCTATCCAAGCATTCTATAAGTGACTTTTTAAAATACAGAACTGTTTTTTTTCTTTTTAGCTACGCTCTTGCATTATCCTCGCCCTGGCCACAAGTGCCCTTGCTGGTCACGTTGGCCACCTTGCCGGAGGCTACACTCTAGCCAATAACCTCGGTTACGCCGGTCTTGGTTATGGTGGTCTTGGTCTCTCCAACTACGGCCTTGCCCATGGCGTTGGATACTCCGGCCTCACCGGCTACGGCGTCGGTTACGGATATGGTTACGTGCCAGCCGCCAGCTATGCTGTTGCTGCCCCAGCCGTCGCCCAAACCGTCTCCTCCTACCATGCCGCCCCAGCTGTGACCACCGCTCACGCCGCCCCAGCTGTGACCGCTGTTCACGCCGCACCAGCTGTAGCTGCTGTGCATGCTGCTCCAGCCGTGGCTGCTGTGCAAGCTGCTCCAACCGTGACTGCTGTGCAAGCTGCTCCAGCCGTGACTGCTGTCCACGCTGCCCCAACTACCACCACTTATGCCGGCTACGGATACGGTTATGCGCCAGCCGCCAGCTATGCGGTCGCTGCCCCAGCCGTCACCCGCACTGTCTCCGCCTACCACGCCACTCCAGCTGTGACCGCTGTGCACGCTGCCCCAGCCGTGGCTGCTGTGCAAGCTGCTCCAGCCGTGACTGCTGTCCACGCTACCCCAACTATCGCCACTTATGCCGCGGCACCAGCTGTCACCTACGCAGCCGCCCCAGCTGTAACCAAGGTTGTCCAGCAGGCCGCTCAGGTTGTTGCTGCTGCTCCAGCTGTCGCCACCTACGCCGCTGCCCCAGCTGTGACTGCTGTCCACGCTGCTCCAGCTGTCGCAGCCGTCCATGCCACCCCAGCTGTCGCTGCCGTCCACGCTGCTCCAGCTGTCGCTACCTACAGTGTTGCCCACGCTGCCCCAGCCATCGCTACCTATGGTGTCGCCCACTCCGCCCCACTCTACTACGGCTATGGTGTTGGCTCCCTCGGATATGGTGGTGGTCACTACGGTTATGGCCATGGTCTGCTTGGTTATGGTCTGAACTACGGCTATGGCCTTGGCTCTCCCCTGAACTACGCCACCCTTCTGCGCAAGAAGAAGTGTAAGTTCCCTTACTTCTCTCAAAGGTGTTGTACACGACCTCGATTTCTGAAGTTCTCACAATCATATACCATTATCTTTCTTTTTACAGAAATGGCGCTCTTCTAAGCCTTTCCGCAGAAGCCGTTGTACAGAATGATGGTGAGCCAGCCTTGAAGACTCCACTGAAGTGTACGAATTTTAATAGAATAATAAAATTCTTGCACAGTATCTGCGTTCTCTATATTATTCGTTCACTCAATCGACTAAAACAAGATGCCGTTGAGCTATAATTGAAAAAAGAGTTGCGAGGGAACAACACAGGCTTTGCACTGGGCTGACAAAGAACTCACAATACTCACGGACACAGAACACGGGAGTACTGTTCCTACTTTGAGCTGAAAATCTCGTCTTACTTATTTTTCCAGTGTAGGCTACCATTTTTGCGGTTTCGATCAAGCTTAAGCTATTTAAATTAGGATATAAGTGTTTTTGTGTCGAGAACGTTGAGGTTTATTTTCCAAGAGCCCTGAAGAGAAAAGCGTTGGGAACTCACTCTATATAATTTGATCAGCATAAATAAAAGTTCATAGATACCCGTTTCGGCCAAGTGAGACATGATTGATATATTCATAATTAATGCAGGCTCCTTGTGTAAAAAACCTTTATCATGCTGACAATGCGGGTACGTCATGTAATGATTGACACAAGTTTGTAGCATAACTTTGTTTTGAACTACCGCGGTGCTATTTATGATTTGTACTAACCGGCGTTTTGCCTTGGAAATTTGAGTTGCCATAACCAGTTTAACCAACGAGGTGGTAATTAAGCAGGTAATCTAGCAGAAGGCCCTACTATTTCAAATAATTACAGTTAGATGACTCTGTACGCAAACCACGATATCGTCATGAGGCACAACTAAGCACAGGTGTTCAAAAATTTAGATCAACAGATGCTCTTTAACGTGTTTTTAACATCGCACCATGAACTGACCTATCATATCGCCTTCATAGAAATGCGAGCGCTGTCATAGTGATCGAACCCGCGACTTTCAGACTTTCAGTGAAGCACTGTAACCACTTCACCACTATGACGTGCATCTCCGCAGTTTAGGTTTGTTGGAAACTCACCGTATACTTCGGGAAGGAAGGTAATATCTATTGTTGGGGTGTGCGAATACTGGAATTTTCACAGGGAAAGCTGTTTTGAGATCACAACTGCGTGTGACCCAGTTGTCCGCCGCCGCCGGCACCGCCGGTGTCCGTAACCACATCGCAAGAAACCAGAAAAAACAATTGGGAGACCTTTAAGATTGAACGTGATAGCGAAATCCGGCCGCTAGTGCGCCCTTCAACTGCTAAGTGCATACTTATTAATCTATTTTGTTACACACACACATACACACACACACACACACACACACACACACACACACACACACACAAACGCGCCCACATGCACGACGTATCTATAGTAACGCAGTGACTGTGCAGTGTGGCCACTTCCCTCTGCCATAGTATCACAATGCCTCACAGATGCCAGCACATTATTTAGCGTTTGCCGTTTGCTTAATCGACGCAACGCCCCCTCTACGCCTCTGGAAAGGCATGATTTGTCTTCCACTAGATGGACATAGCTGTCCATTATTAGAGCTGTATGAAAGTTCCTGGGTTTTTTTACCGGCGATGACTGGAATTTTATAGAGATAATGAGAACTACTGGCAAGAACAAGCGAAAGAAAACCGGACGAAAGCTAATAGATGCAACGGTAATCATCTGTCAGTGTTTGCTGGGGCGACTGTCTGTAATCTTTTCTTTGCCTCAAAACTTTGGTATGTGATGCAAGTATTGCATTGTTGAAGGGCAAAGATACAGACGTTACATCGCATCTTCGCAGTGTTCGTGTGGGCTTAGAACTGGGAGAGATGCAGTCGAACTAATCTGTTTCGAAAAGTGAAACACGGAGGGCTTGGTTTAACACATCTTTTCATACGCCAAGTCGTAAATGGGTTCTTTTTTTTTTTCGCTACACAAGCGACCCTTTCTTAGGTACAGTGTGCCAAATGAGACTGATGCGGCCTTTACCTGGATATGTGGTCAGCACGAATGACATGACCGGTGCTGTGCGCTGGTATCTTAAAGAGGTTATTCTAAGTGTACGGTTTTTATCTGTTAGATTTTCCAATGAATATTTGTTTTCAGTGACTCGAACGAAGTTGTACAAAGATGCATGCGATGTTGTTTTACCTGAACCGCTGTACCGTGCCATGTACGCTGGAGGTGAAGGGAAAGATGCGCTTAAACGAGTGAAGAGAATGCAAGTGGCTCCTGCCGCGAAGTCTTTCTTTTTCAAGCTGCACACAGGTACATTATCAGTCAGGACATTTCAAGCAGACCGTGGTTTTTACTTACCTTGGGGGACAAATTGCCTTATCTGTAGAAAACCGGAAACCATTGACCATGTTTTCTTACACTGTTGGGAGGGAGTATATTTTTGGGATGTACTTCAAAGGACGTTACAGAAAGAATTACCTTTAAATTCATATGGTATAAGATTTCTGCCAATAGTGGACGAAGAGGGAATGCCTTTTGATTTGATTATGCTATGTGGACTTCACTGTTTATGGCGGGCCCGTATGGCGGGTTTCTATCGCGATCAGGATGCACGGCCTGCACGAATGTATTTCCGGGAATGTATGGCCAAGTTTGTTGAACTGCAGAAAACTCAGGAGATTTTACCTGAGTGGTTGTCGAGGGTGGAGCCCTTGGCAGCACTTAGGGAATTTTTATTTCTGTCGGACTGTTACTGCTTGTTTTTGTTCTGCTTGTGGTTTGATGTACGCGCCTATAAACAGGCAATAAAGCAAAAAAAACGTTGTGGTAGGACTTCTGCTTACCACTCGAACGGCCCGGGTTCGATCCTCAACGGGGCCGAAAATGGATGGAAATGTGCCATTTTTAAACAAAAGGTTAATTACATGTGAGAGGGGATCAGCGACGATATCAGCGACATATTTCAAGTGAACTGGTTGAATTTCATCAAGACCCGCGCTTGTTAATTTTAATTTCTTGATCACATTGTGAATTTCTTCTGGTATGGTAGGATATAGAAAAAAGGACTGTGGTTGCCTTTCAAGCGTACCTTCAAAGCTGTCGGAAACGGGTGTGTTATTAACTGTAAAATAATTATTAAATTCATTCGCAATGGCTGTTGGTTCTTTGTAGGTGCCATTAATGCTAGAAATCTCATTTATTAGTGTTTCTTTTGAGTTCCTGTTCAGAAAAGAGTTGATGAGCTTCCCAAAATAGTTCCTGTCTTTAAAAAAGGCGATAAGGGTTTGGTTTCTAACTATCGCCCCATTGCAATTCTGTCTGTGCTCAGCAAAGTTATAGAGAAGTGCTTTGAAAAGCGACTAACAAATTACTTAACTAAATTTAGCATTCTGTCTGCCTCGCAGTTTGGCTTTCGTGCAGGCTACTCTACCAACCTCGCGCTTCTTTCATTCACGGATACGATTAAACACTATATTGACTCAGGTAAATATGCTGGAGCAGTGTTTATTGACCTCACGAAAGCGTTCGATTCAATCCTTCATAAAATTTTAATTACCAAGCTAAACGCGGCCGGTGTTGTAGGACCTGCCCTGAACTTCATTCACAGCTACTTAACTGACAGAGAACAGGCTGTTAGCATATCCAATCATCTTTCTAATTTTAAAATAATCAATCGGGGAGTACCTCAAGGATCAATTCTAGGCCCAATACTCTTCACCGTTTACATTAATGATCTAACTTCTCACCTATCGCACTGTCTACCTTATCTGTATGCGGATGACACTACGATTTTAACTGCTTGCACCTCGATCGATACTGTTACTTTTAAACTAAACAGTGATCTTGAAAATATAATTCGCTGGTGTCGTCATAATTCACTGGAAATTAACCCTAGTAAAACAGTTTTTGTGCTATTTCACCCCACTCAAAAAAAGGTCACTGAATATCCGTCTATAACGGTCAATAATTATCCTATCAAAGCCTCCAGTCAGTGTAGATTTCTAGGAGTGATTCTTGATGCAAATTTAAAGTATACTTCCCATGTCTCACACCTAAAGCAAAAAGCAGCTTATGGCATCCGGATTCTCATCAAAGCACGTCCATACTTTGGGCCAAATACCTTGCTTTCTCTTTACTATGCCTTCGTTCACAGTCACTTCACTTACTGCATTGCATCCTGGTGCAATACATATAGCACTCATCTTGCTCCTTTGCAATATGTTCAAAACCAGGCCATTCGCATTATCACATATCAACCATCACGATGTAGCGCATCTGCTATTTTACAAGGGCTTCGTATTTTAACAATTCATAAACTTTTTCTTTTCAACATGGCAACCCTTACATACAATTCTCTTCACTCAAACATGCCTTTCATGGTCTTCAATAAAGAACAACTCATTAATCAAAATATAACTCGATTTGCATCAAATAATAACCTCCTGTTACCGAAAGTTAGAACTAACTATGGCAGATTCACTTCTACCTTCACAGCTATTTCCGTTTGGAACGGTATTCCAAGTGACGTAAAAATGTCTCCAAACATAGGCAGTTTTAAAAAACGCTTAAATTCCTATTTACTTAATGTTTAAATAATTTTGTTGTTTATGCTGTTCAATTCGGAACTAATCGTTCATTATGTTTGCTCTGTTTTGTGCCAAATTAGATGAATAACATGTGTCTGGCATTGTTGCCGCTTTGAGACATACCACTTTTAACTTTTCTTTTTTTTTACCTATTACTACTCAGCACATGTGATATTTGTATCGATCGTTTATCATCTAACATGCACTTATGTGTATATACAATTCAAGTTTCATTTCTTCTGCTGCCAGGTGTTATTGATCATTTGCTGATGGATTTCATCTGCTATCAAGTGTTTCGATTTGTCAATAATTGACTGTTTGTTTCTTTTGCAATGAAATGTACTTGATTCCTTTAAACTTATTCTATTGTTTACCGAGTTGCTTTACATGTTTTGTTTTCTTTATGTAACTAGCACAGGAGGTCCCCTTGCAGCCTAGAGCTTTGGGACCTCCTTCTGTATAACTTTTTTCCTATGTATTATCTTTTAT